TGAGGAATTGAGTTTGAAAATTGTTATCAAGGCTACCAATATACTACTTGATATGGATCTTAATCCTAAGATCTCTGACTTTGGTTTGGCCAAGCTTGATGAAGATGAGAACACCCACATTAGCACCAGAATTACTAGAACTATGTAAGCTACCAATTTTCTTCTCGTAATGATGACCTATGCTCTTCGATTCTTTCAGAAGTTTGTATATCAGAAAATCTCGCCTTAGAACATGATATAATTCCATTACCTTTTCTTTCATCTCCAAATCATGACTAAACATAAGTAGTGCTGATTAATTACAAGTTCAAATTGTTAAAGTAACCAACAGTTATCCCTATCTAACACATTTTTGTTGACTTTTTATGATTCTAATTTGTTAAAACACTGAGAATTCCTAATTTATGTTTGTGAACTCATTTGACCAAGAAAGTTCCCCAATAGGGAAACCAGTAGTCTTTGTGGATAGATGTCTCTTATTAGGCATATGCATTTCCAATGTAGCCTTATGGAATAATTGGTAGTTGTATAGATCCACATTTACTGAATTGGATTATCTGCATTTGCAATGCAAGCTTACTTGTGGAATAGTTGGTCGTTGTACACATCCACATTTACTGAATTGACTTACGTGTACTTGTAATATGATAATATTGTTAACCTGATGTTTCATCCGTATCTTAGTTTCCTAAATGAATTAAAAAAGAGAAGAAAAAAGGTATATGCATCTTTGTAAATTGTAGTAACTTGCAAAGTTACTTTGGATAAATGATTAACCAACTCATGGACCATGGTGGAGTTGGAGTAAGAGAGATATGTTCCACAGTTAGACCATATTGTGTATAAATACCACAAGTTTGCAATGGAAACCAAATTTGAGCACAAAATTGGAAATTACAGTCAAGCCTACCACAATGGAATCGTATTTTACAGTAATTATATTGTTACAGTATAGCTTTTATATATGTCTAAACTTTTCAATGTTTAGATGTGTTATATTGTTACAAAATCTATTTGAAATTTCACTAAGGTAATAAAAAAAATGAAGTTCTAATTAGTGACCACACTTTTATGGCCGTAAACTTTGAACAAATGCTTGAAAAATTGCCAAATTTACACATGTATGCTGGCATTTATCATGTAAAACTACTGTTGTTGTTGTACATGTACGTAAAAGCTTACATTGGTAAGATTGACAAAATAATGTTTGTTGTGCAGAGGGTACATGGCACCAGAATATGCATTATGGGGTCACTTATCCCATAAAGCAGATGTTTATAGTTTTGGGATTGTCGCGTTGGAAATTATTGCTGGAAAGAACAACATGAAATATCGTGCTATTGAAAATTATGTTTGTCTACTTGATTGGGTAAGATTACCTAGTTCTTGAAGTCTCTTGATTGACAATAGAAAAAAGATACTTGCATATAAACAAATTACAAAACACTTACAAGGGGTGGGGCCCACATACTATGGGACCCACACTATTGTGAGTGTTTTATGATTTGTTTTTGTGCATGTAGAACTACTGTATTGACGACACAGTTTAAAACCATTTTTCCTTGCTGTAGGATTGACCAATCCATTTAAGCTTAATTGGCTTGCTTTAACTCAAGTTAATGCAAAGGCAATTGAACTACCTGAATTGGTTGCGTAAAGTATGATTTTAACTGATTGACAGTTATTGTTTCCAATGCTTTAAATTTTCAATTGGATTGGATAATCTCTCTTAATTTAAATGATAATGAATTACCAGTGTTCATAATTACAGATATTCTAATAATCCTTGATATTTATTTTTGAGTATGAAAAGGATTTCTACTGCAAAACAAGAGTGTAAACCCAAAATAGATCATCCTTCATTGAAATTTTTATCCAAAATACAGCATTGCTTTTATGAGTCAAACTCACTTTTAATTTTGTAAGTCCACGTTGATTGACCTATAATTAGTTATACTCGAGTCTTGGTTGTGTACTGCTACTTTATATCTAGGGTTCTTTACTAACTTATTACTTATCATGAGAATACATTTGTTGTTCTTATTTCAGGCACTTGCTTTACAAAAAAAAGGAAATTTAGTAGAGTTGATGGATCCAAAGTTGGGTTCCAATTTCAACGAGGAGGAAGCAATAAAAATTCTTAAAGTAGCTTTATCTTGCACTAATCCATCTTCGGTGGTTAGGCCGACCATGTCTGCAGTAGTAAGAATGCTTGAAGGTGATATATGCGTCGAAGAACTGATGATGGATCAAAGTGAATATGGTGATGACTTTAGGTTCAAATCCCTTAGAGACAAATACTATGAGCTGCAACGCCAGAACTCAAGTGAAGGCCAAACCCTCATTGATTTATCAGAAACAGCACGAAATGGCTCGTCCTCTACAACTTCTCATGATCTCTACCCGATTAGTCTTGATTCTCATTAATGAAATCCAACTTGGAACGTGTCATGGTGGCTTCATTACTCTGCAAGCATTACATGCATTGTTTTTTTAATTTTGGTTGAAGAATTTCATTCTCTTGTTTTTTTATGTTTCAAATGTTTAATGTTTGATGTTTTGGTGATTGTTAGTCTTTCGGTAATTTTGTCATATGTTTTCAGGTCATGTGATTTGTTTTTAGATTGTAGAATTTTGTTTTGGTTGTGTGGTTGTATTGTTGTTGAAGTTCTACAAGTGAAGAAAAGTTGAAACATAGAAAATGTTGGGTATACTTCCTTAGTGGAGTATGAGACTCAATTGGTTTATTAAAATATTTGGTTTGATTTGGTGTTGGTTATAATATATTTTTAATATATTATATCTGACTTTTGGAGGCCTAATGGGTATTTAATATTTAGTTTGGTAGTAGCTAGGGCTTTGATAAAAGGCCTAAGAATTAACAATATTTATTGGGAAATTGTTTAGTTTTCCATGAGAAAGAAAAAAGTGCGGCGGCTATTTGATCATTCATCCTTGGTAACTGTGCTACAAATTGATTTACTTGTGAAAAATCATCTATTTTCCCTAATAGAAAATAGGGTAGTCACCCCAAAGAGCTCTGGAAATGTACCCCTCTCACAAATTCGCCCCCCAAGCTCAGCCTAGTGACCCCTCACTCTCAGCCTTTCCCTAGTGACATGGATAAATAGTGGTGTAATTTCTAACTACAATGAAGTTGAGAATTCACTTGCTTTGTGACTCGCCCTGGAGACTTGGGCTCAATATCCACTGTTTTAGTCTAAATTAGAGGAACTTGTGCAAGAGATGTTCAAGCTGGCTGAAGAGCTTTCTCTACGGACATCTTTGTCATCTTTGCTCATATATATATGCAAGGAAAATTGAAGACCTTGGTAGAGATATGAATCCAATACAATGGTCATTCTTTAACCTCTTTATAAAATAATTATTTCCTTACAATAATAAACAATGACTCCACTTGTAATGTATTTCTTATAATTTATATATATATATTTGGTGAAAAAGACACGTGAGTAGACATTATGAATGAATGATCATTGGAGCCAAACAGAACATGTTGTATATTGTTTCCTCTCTCAAGAAGAGGTCAGATTGGAGATCGTGGCCATCGTTGTGGAGATCTGGATGGAACTAAAGGTTTTGAGTTAATAAGTTGTAGGTTCTACCTTGGTAAGTGGTTGTGAGTCACATTACTTGTACAATGTAATTTCTTCGTGATTAGTGGATTGTTTGGCTTGTGCCATGATTTTCTCCCCAAATAAGGATTTAAACTTAAATCCTTGCATCTGTTGTGGTGTTTAATATTTTTACGTTACATCTTGACATGCATATTCAGAATATATATATATATATATATTTGGCTGCATAATTTGTTTATGTTGTCGCGTATGTTTTGATATTTGCCAATAATCTTCTTTTTGTCAATGGATTTTTTTTTTCAATTGAATGGTGCCAATGCCATAGCTAGAGTTTCTCAGTTGATGTATTTCTATGAAGCAAAGTGGTATTGTAGAGATTAGCATATCCACCACCTTCATATAGTACCTCTGCCTCCATCGCCATATCGACCAAACCCATTACAACCAAAACCAACATCACTTCTCGTTGCCATTCTCTCTTTGAATCTAGCTGGCCTACCCAAAAAGGTGCCCTATCGCTACCTTGTCATGTGTAATGCTCCAACTTTTATTACTCGGATATAGTTATCACTTTCCTTATTAAGGTTCTTTTATGACATAATATAAAGCGAAGACAATATAAAACAATTAATGATTTATATTTTCACTCATAAATGACGTAATAAAATGTTTAATACCATTAATTTCAATACATGCCCTTAAGCTTACATAAAGGGTTACAGAATAAAATAATTATAATAAATACTAATACATTCTTGTTACATTATAAGTGCAACAATAAATCAAAACAAAATAATTCCTTGATCTTGGACGACGCATTCGACTATGTACCTAAAAAATTGTTTAACAACAGAGATGAACACAAAGGTCCAGTAGGGATCTGCAATGATTCTAATCAATAATAACCTGTAGATATATGCGATCATGAATGCTCACAATATATGTACATAGATAATGGTGTCTTTTTATATCCAAAGTATTTACATACATACATATATTTTTTCAAAAGAAGTCCCTTTTAACATTTTAAGAAAATCCTTTCGATTAAGCAATTATTTTTTTAAAAGTTCTCTAGACCTTTATTTCAATTTGAAAGCCTTAGCCACAAGAACAAACCCACCATCTCACAAATAATAAAAGACCTCAAACAATTACCAAGCCTAACATTCATCACTTAGGATAATAAATTATAAATCTAATTCTTTATAGAACTATCTCAACTACACACTTTGATCCTCTATCACAATCCCGTATATACACAAAATTCCATGCAATTACACATGCAAAACTACGAATGCTATCACATTTCACAACCCGGCTTTGTCAAGCCATTCGAACACAGTTTACCGGGCACTAACTGGAAGGAAGCTAGAACCTATTTGAAAGTGCCAAGTTTTGCTGGTGGCTAACTGGAAGGAAAGTGGAACCTCCATATAACCTAATAGTGCACACGCTTTACCGAGTGAAAATCGGAAGGAAAGTGGAACCTATGTCAATGTGCCACGCTTTATTAGTCACAAGCCAAAAGGAAACAGACCCTTTGTATCATTCAATATCACATAATTTTTACTGGGCACAAACCGGAAGGAAAATGGAACCTCCATATAGCACTTTCATTATTCATCATGTTCCCACTTCATTCAAACTAACAAGTAATCAACAACACATCATAATATGCTCAAGTCATTCCACAACAAACAACACCGCTCTGGAAGTGTTAATTAAGATAACCATCACATCAACCAATATAACTCTTTTGGTTAAGTTTCAAAATTATTTGAGTTCCCACGTAACTTACATTTACATCCACTCTTCATTTTACCTATCTCTTCTATTTCACTTTTTAATTCACAATCATCAATATAGTTCATAATTTCGTAGAACATCATCAAATCATTTAAAATTAGTGTTTTTAGTTTTAATCACCATGAACATCTCCCTTCATATGTTTCATTAATTTCAATCACTAACCATTTTAGTATAAACACATTTCATAAAAATCTTTCCTATTTACAAGATTTGAAGTTGTAATAACCCGACCCTCTTATATGCTTTCAGCCTTTCATTATTTGTGTAATTATATGTTTAATGTGAAATTCCATGTGAAATTGTGTTTAATTATGTGAATTATATATTTATGGAATCATATTTGTTAGTTGTGTGAAAAATTTGTTACAATTGCGACGTTTGAGTTAGTAATTGGAAGCCCTAGAGGCGCGATAGCCCGAAACAGACTTTATAATTGTAATGAGCATGATTTTTTAGATCATAATATAATTTTTTGTAAAAATTTGATTCGTAATAATTAAATTGATTAATTGGAGGTTAATCTTTAAATAGTCCATTAGACTCTTGACCTAGGGGCTTCTCATCACAAAAGAAAATATCTCCTGTGAATGAGGGAGTGCCAGAGAGGGAGAGAAGTGAGAGGAGGCTTCAACAAGAGTGAAGATTGAAGAAAATGAGAAGAATTTTAGAGATTAGAGTTCAAGGTAGGTATAATTTACCTAGCATATCCTCACCTCTCTCTCTAATTGATTTGAGTAGGAAATCTTTACATTCATGTAAGCTAGGGTTTACAATAAGAATCTTACTTATGGTAGTTGGTTGATTTGAAGGATGATTCTTGTGTTTTGGGATGTTTTGAGATATGTTGTGAAGAATTACCTCTTATTCTTTAGTTTTACATGTTTTGAACTCACACATGCATTTAGATGTTTATATATATATTTGATAAACCAAGTATAGATGGAAACATAAAAGATTTGGGTTGTGTATATGAATTTGAAAAGGGTTGTGATCTAATTATGCTTGTGATTCATGTTTACTGTGATGATATATCATGATATTGGGAAGAATTTCCCTATTTTGCACTTTGTAATGTGTTTGGTTAGTTGGATTTTTGTCTAAGTTCGGACTGCTCAAAACAGGGTATACGACCGCATGTGCGGGAAGCACAACCACATGTGCGGGGCTCACAGCTGCACGTATGGAAAACAGGGGAGGAAAATTTGAGATTCTGAAATAAAGGCACGTGTGGCTCCGCACGTGGGGCCTACCTTCCTGCACGTGCGGTAGAGGACTTCCGCACGTGCAGCCCAAGGGAAAAAATTCTGTATGCTTCTTTTTCTTTGTTAGACCCTCTGGGACTGCTAATATGTACATATGATCCTTCTAAAATGCTTGTAATTAAATGAGAGTTGAACGAATTAGATATTGAGTAAAAGAAAAAGACTAAAGGAAAGTGACTGACTTATGAGTTGTATGCTATGTGTAGGTCATGTACAGGAAGGGACTGTTGCTCCTCCATATCACTGTGAGTAATAGCAGTGTAAAGTCGTGTTCCATTTATTTCCGATAATTATCGATGGGATATCGTTACTTGTGAATGGGTTGTATTCGCGATATTGTGGATGATTGGAACACTTGAATTGAAATGTTTAAACAATGGTATTAATAGGGACCAGAGGTCGTTCGAACAATGGTATTAATATGGACCCAAGGTCGTTCTATTTTGCTATTACTGGGTCCGAGGCCGTTCTAACGTGAGCTATTTATTATTGGTGGCCCTAAGGCCAAGGGAGATGGGGACATGTCGATGTTCCATCGACCCTATAATGATATGAATTGTTTATGACTCATGGCCTAAGGACGAGGGAGGTAGAGACATGTCGATGTTCTATCTACCCTCCAATGTTCCGAACAACTGTTGATATGTTGGGCCGAAGGCCATTCTGGATGATGAATGCAGGACCAAGATAAGCACGTGATTTATAAGTTTATGTTCATTATGTCTTATGCTTATTTATATGAACTTCCTTACATTGTTATAATTCACTGAGTTTCGCTCACTCTATATTGTATATACTTATGTAGGTAATTAGCCTGAGGGCCAGTCCTAGTCTAGCTCCAACAGCTCTTTTGTCGACCCCGCTGTGTCAAGACAATTAAAGTGAAGCCCTTTTTCCTTTTGTAGAGTTCCTTTTATATTACACAATTGTTGGTCATTAATACTGTTGTCAAACGTTGAATAACATGTATAACTTTTAACTCTTAGATGTTTTTGGTTACGCCCCCCACTTATTGGGTTGGGCTTGTATATATATACACAGAGATGTGACTTATGTATGTGCCACATTATGTGATGGAAATGTTTTGTGATCC